AATAGTAGAACTTTTATTTAACTAGGATAATTAAAACCTTTGAGACTATCATCTTATTTGCAAAAGTATCCTGGGGCAACAGTGGTTATCTATGCAAAGTAACAATCAAACACAATGGAAAACAAAATTAAAGTAAAATAGAAAAGCTTACAGCAATTATTGATCAAAGCAATATCACTTTGTGGTTCAAAGAAAAGTTCAAGATTTTCACAAATGCTTGCAATCTGAGAAATATTTCCTTATTAAAATTCTGTGATGAAAGCAAATTGCATACCAAAGAGACAATGCTTTGGTAAAATGCTTTCATTGTACTGTATTTTGTGTTGCAAATCCTTCCAGCTGTTTTGAGATGGTATCACCATTGAGATCACTGTTGTCCCCTTCTCTGCTTTGTCCCCCAGTAAAGCCAAACTGATAAACAAAACCCAAGAATTAGACTTAAAAGCTGATTGTTCCTTTTACTGATGGCCAGCTCAGTCCATATATCTTAGTGGAAGACCAACAAAGTATGACACTGCTGCATTTATTAATTCCTCTTGTTAGAGAGGAATTAAAAATTAACACAAGCCATATTTTAGATTAAATCTATTCAATTTTTACAAATCGTGGTTTTGGATGAAATTTTTTGCCACTTCTGAAAGGCTATAATTTTCTATGTTCCAAATTTGTCTGAATTTAAAAAAATGTTTACCAGCATTAGCAAGACATTTTAAACAACCAATTAAATATTTAAAATGTAAGGAAATAGAGTAAAAAATGAAATAAGTTTCTTTGTGTAAGTTTCAAAAGAAAAAAACCTGAAATTTTGTAGCAAAATAGGAAGAGTTGAGATCATAGTAACTGAATCATAATGCTGAATGAATCAGTTATCAGAATACATGAGGGTGGGCCTGGCTGATGGCCATGAATTTTTTTGTTCTCTCACTTTCATATAATTCTGCACTAAAGAATTTCTCTTGGGGAGTTTGTGTTCTTACAGTAACCCACGGTACAGGCTGATTTTAAGGTTCTAACATATCATATATAAACTTTTTCATATTTCATTTTTTACTTTTCAGCAACTTCTCATTTCACCATTCTGCTGGATTTACATGCTGTATTGATTTTTCTCTCAGATTTTCTACCAAATGTAACTGTTGATTCAGTTATTTAGTTTTAGGTGCAGAATTCTTAGGTTTAAAAAAAATTAGAAATAAAGTCATAACCTTATTACTGAAATTGATAAGTTCATCTAAGTTTGAGTGACTTAGGATATCTAGAGACATTCAGGAATTCTTTATGACAAACTTTGGTTGAAAAATACTCCTATGATTCTGAGAGACTTGCTATCTCAAAGGATGTTTTTATAATAGTCATCAAACAGGATTCCTGTTACAGTGTATATTGAAAAAGAAGAGTGAAAATAAACAGCAGCCTATTCTATGAAGACTTGTAAGAAATAGCTATGTGACTTATGTGGTGATATTATGTATGTGCCTTTACCTGATCTCCACAGATACTTCCTTTGGAACTGTTTTTATTATTTTCATCTTCTAAGCCACATCAGCAACTGTTATTTTAAAATGTTTCTTTTTTTTCCTCTAAGTATGAAATCTCTCCATATTCTATTGCTGGCTAAAATTGTCAGAAATACCTAGGTGATTCTAAGCCTAGCCTATTCTCTTTGGCAGAAGTAATTTAGATATTGAAGCGCATATAAAGTAGTGTCTGATATATAAGAACTACGGAGAAAGTTTATGTAAATGTAACCTTGTTAGTACTGCTGAAGTCAGTGAGAAATATGATAATTCACTGGCTGTCTATGCTGTATTTCAGCGGCACACATTTTTGGGGCTGTATTAGCAGTTATTAAAGAATGTAGGTCATCTTATTCACAAAATTAGCAAAATTGTGCTTGGCCTTTTCCTTTTTCAAGGGTGTTTCTGAAAGCCCGGGTGTGATGGTCAGCACTTGGGGCTTCTCTGGTTTTCACAGCTGTGTCCTGTTGCTCTGATAAGGTGGAGAGGGAGTGGAGATAGTGCCTGCACCTGGGGAGGAGGGACTGGGCAAGGGCAAGGGCAAGGGCAAGGGCAAGCGCAAGCTGCTGGGGATGAGCTCTGGAGTAGGTAGCAGACCTTGTGGAAGGACCAGGACTGAAGAGTTGAGCAGAGAACAGCTGACTGTGCTTCAGAGAGCTTGGGAAGAGCTGCCTACACATCCACTAGCTTATTACTGAGCAGCTTCTGGAAAGAAGTTGTTGCCTGTAAGAATATAGGGAGAAGGTAGGGCTTTTACTTCTTTTCTGTCATGTTTTAAACCTTTATTCAGATAAAATGTGGGCTTTCTTAAACTCCTTACTGGCTCAGTGTTCCCTTGCAGTGTGCTTAACTTCAAATACAGTTCTGCTTCTGTCGGCTTTGGTGAAGCTTCAGCATGAAATTTAGGTGTGTAATGTTGGTGGGATTTCTGGAGAAGATTTAGTGGGCTTAGAGACCTGTGTAGGTTATATCAAAATATGTAAATGCAACCTACTTGGAGTCTGTGGGTGCTCTGGAGCAGGAACGGGCAGTAAAGTAAAAGCCTCTAAACTGAATCTCTTCTTAGGGGAGGTTGGTATGGAGCTGGATAGTGCAGACTGGTCCTACTGCTAGTTCTGTTTCACTGTTACTTCTGCTATTATCTTCATGTAAGTACTGGAACAGGCCCTCTTGTATGTGAGATAAAGGCTTTAATGTAGAATTATTTTTTTAATAACTAAATTAGATTTTCCTACCATGTCTTTGTTGTAGACTAGCAGAACAATGCTAATCTTTATGTTTTAGTTAACAAGCTTGTTAAATCATTGCTTGAGCCTTCAGATGTTAGACCTCTGGAATAAGAGAAAAAATTTGAGGTGGAAAACTTGAAGCAAATTATATTCATAATTTGGTATAAGAAGTTTATTGTGCCTGACTTAGAAATCATAGAAATGGATAGGCTGGTTGTCAAAAGGAATGCCTGTTAAAGCATGAGAAATTTAGCTCTAACTGATTTTGTTCCCTTTGGGAGATCAAACAGTCCAGCTTCTGTCTCAGCAGCTTGTGAAAACTGAGCTGGCCTGATGTGGTTAATCCATGCAACCATTAATGGCCTTGAAAATTTTGTTCAAGTTCCTGAAGTTGTGTGCTTTTCTCATTTCAAGATCTTGCTCTATCTCAGATTGTGAAACAGTGTCTTATCTCGTGTAAATTTGGTTGTCTGAGTGCGAAGTGAGAGCTGAACACTCTTAAGGTGCTCCTCCCCCAGATTTCTGCCCAAATAAAAGGGAGAAAGAAGGGCTCATATTAAAAAGCAGAGGAGCTTTGTAGGCAAGACTGCATTGAGTGCTTGCTGAAAAGGGACTGGGGCTTTGATACACAAGCCAGCCTGAAATGGATTCTGTTTGAAACTGCTCCTTGGGCATTTCGAGACAAATTATAAGAGGCAGGTGGTGTTGGGGTGTTTCTTCTTTGTTTGCTCACTTTGCTTTGAACAGTGAGGACTAGATAGGTAGAAAAATGTGTAAGGGGTGGCTCTGCCATTTTAAATCAAAATTAAAAATACTACTTCAGGTTTAGTTCATCTAGAAGCCCACCTATATGTTTCTTCTCTATATAGTGGGATTTCTGCTATTCAGTAAATACCAGTGGCTTTCAGCCTCTTTCATTATGATGCAATTTCTACATTATTTTTTTAATGCTTATTGCTTTGCTTATTGAGAACTAAATTATGTATTCATAATAACTGAGTAACAAATACAGAGAATGTTATGTGACAGTACAAAAAGGGTGAATTATGAAAAGAAATAGGTCACAAGTTACTAAATATAATGGGTTTTGTGTATCATAATCAATATTAGAATGGCTGGTATTAATTATGGAGAAGAATAAACAATCATTTTATTATTGGTAGCTCCCTCCTAGCACAAACTTGTCTTCTAATTCTGGGTCATTCCTGTAGGAATCAGATGAAAGTTATATCCTGCCTGTATACACAAGATTTTCTGATCACATCTCACTTATTTTCCTTTTCACTTTTAACAGCCTCAGGAATTAAACTTCATGTTTCATCAGTAGACCTCTCTGTCCTTTTCTCCTCAGCATGTCACTCACAGAATTTCTTTTTAAGTTTATATGCTAAGTGTGTCTGCAGATGCTCCCTGTTAGCGATCCCAGAATTGTCTTGATCAGAAACAGTTCGTTCAGCTGTGGGAAGGAAAACTTTACTGCAGGGCTGCTGACATCTGCGCAGAGTAAACCAGCTCCTCCTGAGCACCTCTCTGCTGTGGCTGAGCTCCTTTGGGTGCCCAGTGCTGCACAGACTGGAGTAGTACTGTAGTACTCAGTGTAAAGTATCCGTGCTGTTCAAATCTCTGTGGTCATGCTTCTCTTGTCAGGCTGAGTAAAGAAACACTTTGTTGTGGCTACTGTGGGAGTTGTTAGGAATAGATCTTAGCCTTTTGTCCAGAAAGAGAGAATAAAAAAAAGTTCTCATGACAGTCAGCAAGGATTTCCCTTCTCTAAAGACTGTGTGTTTAGCAGGGAGCTCCTCTAACTGGTTACTATCAGTTTTTTCGTCTGTCAGCAATGTTATGCCTCGGCTCATGGAACTGAACTACCTAGCAAAGTACATGATCTTCATGTAAATTTTTTGAGTAACAGAGATCTACTGATGACTTTAAACTCATCTTAAATTACTATGTAGTAAGACCTTGGATTTATTTGCCCCTCACATCTATCGAAACAGTTCCTGGTTATTACACGGCATTGTTGTAGCTAAATTGAGAGTCTGTAAACACAAATCTTCCAAACATTACCCTTCATCCACAATTTTCTAGTCATGGCTGGACTTCATGAGTTACAATGCCCATTCCTCTTCAGTTAGATCATGTTATCATGATCCTTCTGTATTAGAATATTTCTTCTGTAGCTTTCAAAAACTATGCTGCTCTCACTGAGTTTGCAATGATACTATTTTGAGTAATTTGATTCACCAGCACTCTGAGGATAAAGTTAAAAGCACGTATGCAACAAATGCCCTAATTTTTTTTTTCATTTTATTTTAAACAGGCTTTTAAATTTTCTTCTGTAGAGAAGCTGGATAACATTCTGACTTTGTTATTGAAAAGCAAAATATCTACTTATGAATTCAGCGCATTCCAAAGTGAAGAAGAACACCATCAACAAGCTAGTGAGTCACTTCTTCTATGCATTGATTTTTGTTACTGATGCTATGGTTATTACTTATAAATTTTAATAAGAGTGTCTTTAAGTATTGAAAGCCGCTAGTGAAATGCAGTAACCCACAATAAAGAAAGCATAACCAGGAAAAATGGGAAAAAGAGTTCTGTAAATTGTTACTTCATGACTCAGTACTATATATTTATGCTTGTCTGAATGTTTGATCAGCTTTGGATTAACTGCAAATTGACAGGTTTACAATTGAGCAAATTTATACTTAAAAATGGGCTTTAAGAGACATGAGGAAATGTCTGTACCTTACATATTTTTTTACTAATTACTCTTCTGCAATACAATTTAACTTTACTTTCTCAAAGTTCTGTGGCATAATAAGAAAATCAGAAAGACTGCGTAAAGAGACTTTTTTTGAACTTAGAATAGCACTAAATTTCTCCATTCGTCTTAGTACCTATGCACTTAATAGTTTACATTACTTCCTGTCCAAAGATAATTATTGTTAATTTAATTCAAGAAAAGGCATCTAGTGAGTTAAAATAGTGTGTCTACTACATAGACAAATCCTATATGCAGAACTCGCTAGTGTATCAGCAGAAGCCACTGTTTAGTACCAAATGGAGGGTCCTGGTTGTATTCATTAACCACTTACTAAGGATTCAAGTTGTTTTGCAATAAACCAAAAGTGTGATTATTTAGTTTGTGTTTTGAAAGCACCATCACAATGTTATTTCAGATATGTTTTAGATCTCAGCTTTTTCAAGAGACTTTTGGGGAAAAAACAGAAGCCAAGAATATGTTTACCTTCTGAAATACTTAAGATAGACGTGTTTGAGTTGTTGCCTGACTCCTTTTCTGTGTACCTGAGCTATGGTTTTGAGAGAAAATAAGCTCACTACATTCAAGTACAACATAACCCTTCTTATAAACAAAGATAACAAGTTTTGAAGGTAGCTCTACTGTGATCATTATCATACTCCCCTTTTCAGTAAAGTTTCTTTGATGATGGAATGTACCTCTCTGTACTGAATAAACATGATTGTATTCTGAAAATGAGCTTAAATAAGAGTCTGGGTTAGTGGAAGCAAACAAATTGGGTGTTAAGTGAGGCACCTGTCCTCCACATTTTCCTGTGCAAGACTGCAGGATGGGGATGTATAGGACACATTAGAGAGTCATTCCCTACATGAAATGCTAGTTCTGGTGAACAAAAAAATTTCTGCTTTCCTAGGACCAGTCAGATCTGGTCACATTTTTGAATGTTGAGAATGATCCTTACCAACCAGCAATCCCTTTCCAAAAGGCCTGTGCAGTTCAAGAGCAAATTAATTGCTTGTGAGCTTGAGCCAAGTAATGACCTGCTTAAGAGGAACTGGTTTGATGTGCAGTGCAACAAGAAAGTATGAAGTTAGATGCCTAGATCCTTCATGAAAGAAAGAGGTGGTTGCAGAGCTGGAAGCAGTCAGAATGTGGGAATCCTAGGCTCTCATCCCCCTTCTGCCTGAAATGTATGGAAAACCCATGTCTTTGACTCCTTGTAAGAGCATCCAAAACACACATTAGACATATTTGGTCTAATAGAGGATTAGCATCTCCTTGTTGAGCCATTTTTATAGCATTTTATTCTGAGCACCATTTTTTCTTCCAAAGAGAAAATGTCAAAGAACAAAAACTAACTGAATACTTTTGGGAACGCTGTGAAGCTATTGACAAAAAGCTCTGTTGCACTGAGATTAATTATTCTTCTGTCATCTGAAGAGGCAGATGAATTGGCCCTTATTTCATAACGTCTGTATATGCTGCTTTTCTGTAGTGGTCAAAATAGGCGAACCTATGCCAGAAATCCATGTGTCTGCTTCCTTGGGGAACACATACACTGCATTGATACATACTTGGTTGAAATAGAAGCATGTCAGTAAGTCAGAATATAGATATACTTTTAACTTCTCAGTGACTACCTGTATGTGATTCTATAGAATACCTGCCCACTTTCAAACTATGCTTCTAAAGGCTTCAAAGCCTATTGAGCTCAATAAAGGGAGCCTCTGGTTAGACTTGATAGCAAATGATTAGTTCATAAAGCTTTGAATATGTGATTTTTCTCCAAAAGCTGGAGTGAGTTTTTTTTGAGAATCTAATGGACTGTACTTAATCTTATGGCTTTCCAGTCTGGGTGTAATAGCTCTAACTTAATAATAGTACCTCTGCACAAATGTAGATGCACTCCGTGGAAGCTAGATGCTTCCAAAGAAGATGCAGTCCTTTCAATCTAAACAATAAAAGACTTTTAAATCCTTTTAAACCTTATTCTTTGGAGACTGTTTCATGACTCAGGGCAGTGGCAGGACTACAGGAGGTCAACCTTGCAGAATGAGGCATAGATAAGAGAAGCCTTTCTCTGCATGGTTTTACCTTGATGCTTTATTTTAACTTTATAGCCAACACAGCAGGGTACAGCTGATAAATTGCTGTACTTGACAGTTCTCAATATGAACTCAAAGTGAAAAAATAATGAAGAACTCATGATTAATTTTATTAGTTAGCTAATGAATTGCATGGCTTGACTACTTGCAAAGTATACAGCTGTGTGATTAAAAACTTAGAAGTATAAAAATATATACAAATTCTAATACATGTGCTGTTATTGAAGAAAAAAGGGATGTGTTGCTTGTCTGTACTAACAGTGGTTTAGATCAAGACATCACCAGATGCATGTTTGCTTATATAATTTTTCAAGAGCTGCTCTGCTCCCTAGAATGACTGTTTAACAGTTTTTTAGTATGACACATACAGTATTTGCGAGAGGTCAATGTCTAGATAGATGCAAAAGATCAACTCTGATATCATCTTGCTTTCAATTAATCTGTTTCAAATGTCTGAATAATACTCTCAGCTAACACTTCTTTAGTTCATTCTTCAATGCATGGTTTCAGATTGCCTAATTTAAGGGAAATGTATAACTGTCTTATTTTTCTATGCCAGTCTCCAATGGAAATGCAGTTTCATCCCTCCAGGTGATAAGAAGGAAAGTATGCACATGATATTACTATAGCTCTCACCGTGTGTTTCCTATCATGTACGTGCATGATCATATTTATATTATTTTTTTCTTGCAAACCCTGTCACTGTTTGTTGCCTTTCAATTTTTATTTATTCAAATTAAGTTGGAGACTTTGAGCACTTGATGACAGGCCCTATGTGTAGTTCCTTGTTTACTATGATCTTTTATGAATGACTGGTCTGTTATACTTGGTCTATTGTATCAATATAACCAGATCTCATAAAAGTGTGTATTTACCTCTCTCCGTATTAATATATGTATATGCAAGCATGCCTATAAATAACGTGTGCTTAGTGTGAAATCACCCATTGTTATTTCCCTGGGGTAGACTCAACAAAAATCATAGAATCATAGAATCCCAGGTTGGAAGGGACCACAGGGGTCATCTAATCCAACCTCTCAAGGTAGAAGTATAGTTTAAATGAGATGAGTCAGCACCCTGTCAAGCTGACTCTTAAAACTGACCAATATAGGGGAATTTACCACTTCCACTGGAAGATTATTCCAATGTCTGATTGATCTCATGGTAAACAAATTTATTCTGGAGTTCAGTTGGAATCTCTCCAGAAGAAACTTTTGTCCATTACCCCTCATTTTTTCCATGTGACTCCTTGTGAAAAGGTAGTCTCCATCTTCTTGGTAGCCACCCTTTATGTACTGGTATATGGTGATAAATTTCCCCCTAAGCCTTCTCTTACATTCTTATTTCTTTTAAATAGTAATTGGAAAAAATAAAAGAGGCAAGATTTCCTAATAAACTTGCTATGTTCTCATAGATTCATAGAATGTATGGAGTTGGAAGAGACCTTTAAAGATCATCTAGTCCAACCCCCCATTACCATGATGTCTAACAGAACAACTTTACCTGCTTGAGATAGGTATATCACTGGATATAATGATTTCTGATAAGGAAAGTTTTTGAAATGATGGCATGGATCACAAATACGTATTCTGGAAATTTGTATCTCACAGAATCACAGAATCTCAGGAGTTG